TTCTCTTCACCCATTATGTTTGTGAGAAAGCCAGGTGGTGGTCTTCGATTCCGTGTCGACTACAGGAAGCTAAATGCCATAACGAAAAAGGATCAATATCCCATACCACTCATTGATGAAACGCTGGCCCAAGTCATAGGAGCAAAATATCTCACCAAACTGGACATTCGACATGCCTTCAATCGAATTCGAATGCAGACAGAAGAAGATGAAGACCTCACTACATTCAGAACTCGATTTGGATCCTACAAATACAAGGTCATGCCCTTCGGACTCACAAATGGTCCAGCAACATTCCAGAGGTACATGAATGAAACCCTCATGGATTACCTCAACCAATTTGTCACCGCATACATGGATGACATTCTTATCTACAGTGCTACTCGAGCAGAGCATACAGAGCACATAAGGAAAGTCCTACAGAAGCTTCGAGAAGCTGGACTGCAAGCAGATATCTCAAAATGTGAGTTTTTCGTCCAAGAAACCAAATTCCTAGGACTCATCATGGGAGTCAATGGCATTCACATGGACCCTGCAAAGGTTTCTACTATATTGGAATGGCGAACTCCAAAATCGCTCAGGGATATGCAAGCTTTCATTGGATTCTGCAATTTCTATCGAAGGTTCATCTGAAATTACTCCAGCATCATGAGGCCATTGGTGAACCTTACCAGAAAGGATCAGATATTCGAATGGACTCATGCATGCCAAACTGCATTTGAGCTGTTGAAACAAACAGTCACAGAAGCTCCTGTCTTGAGGCATTTTGATAGAAACAAGACAGCCTATGTCGAAGCAGATTCCTCAGACTTCATCTCATCAGGAGTCTTGTCACAAAAAGATGATCAAGGGGTTCTACATCCAGTGGCATACTTCTCGAAAAAGCTAGCACCTGCAGAATGCAATTACGAGATATATGACAAGGAATTGCTTGCAATCATCAGATGTTTTGAAGCATGGAGACCTGAACTTGAAGGGACAGATTTTCCAGTCCAAGTCTTATCTGATCACAAAAGCTTGGAATACTTCATGTCCACCAAGAAGCTGACAAGAAGACAAGCTCGGTGGGCTGAATTCCTCTCTCGATACAACTTCCAGATCATCTATAGGCCTGGGAAGCAAAATGGAAAAGCAGATGCTTTGACTCGAAGGCCTGGTGACAGACCAGAAGGCAATGATGAGGATGATCGACAAAAGCAACAGCTTCAGGTGTTGCTACCACCTTCAAGGCTACATCCAGACATTCAGAAACTCGAAGAACAAGGCCAAACAGCTCAGCTAGCTCCAGTGGAAACTCATATCAGAGAAATGACAATTCTTGAGAAAATCCAAAAGTCTCAACTGGAAGACAAATTCTGCAAGGCTACACTACAGAAGCTTGAGAATGGTGATCGAACAAGCAAAGAGGTTGCATTGGCTTATTGCGAACTCAAAAACGGCATACTAGAATATCAAAATCGAGTTTGGGTGCCAGAAACCATTCAGGTGGACTTGTTGAGAGAAGTTCATGAACAACCTTCTATGGGACATCCAGGAGCTGGAAAGATGCTGCGAGTCATGAAACGGCACTATTACTGGCCAAACATGGACAAAACAATAGTTCAATATATCAAAAACTGCCATAGTTGTCGAAGATCGAAACCATCTCGAGATGCCTACAATGGACTTCTACAACCAATCCCTATTGACAGTCGACCATGGATGGATATATCAATGGATTTCGTGACAGGATTACCACTCTGTGAAGGGAACAATGCTATCTTGGTTGTTGCATGCAGGTTGATGAAAGAAAGACATTTCATTCCGTGTTTCGCTGGGCAAGAAGGGACTACTGCAGAAGCTACAGCACAGCTCTTACTTCGACATGTATGGAAGCACCATGGTCTACCAAACTCGATAATATCAGACAGAGGTCCTCAGTTCATTGCAGAAGTCTGGAGTTTGCTCTGCAAAATTTGGAAAATTTCAGCCAAACTTTCAACTGCCTTCCACCCAGAAACAGATGGACAGACTGAGCGATTCAATGCAGAGCTCGAACACTACTTGCGAGCTCATGTGAACTATCTTCAAGACAATTGGGTTTCATACTTGTGCATGGCGGAGTTTGCTGCCAACAGTTTGCCATCAGATGCAACCAAGACAAGTGTGTTTTTTGCGAACAAGGGCTATGAACCAAGTATGAGCTTTGATACAGAGCAGCAAGCATATCACGAAGCCAAACAAGAGCACAAGAACATAGCTCAGACCATGGCCAAGGTTTGGGAGTTTCTGCAGGATGAAATCATGCTCTCGCAAGCAAAAATGGAACATTTCGCAAACAAGAAAAGGAAACCTGCACCACACTATCAAGTGGGAGACAGAGTATGGCTTTCAACTCGAAACAGAGGCCATCAAAGAAGCTAGTCCACAAGCAAGTGGGACCTTTTGAAATTCTAGAGCGAATTGGGAAAGTGTTATGGCTACGGTAACGTGACATCATAGAGTGTTATGACTATGGTAACGTGATGTCATGGTTACAGGACCAGGGCCTAGTAACGTGACGTGTGAGTCACAGGGGGCAAGTGGGGTAGGCTGCCATGTGATGGGGCTAATGGATAGTTGCAGAAACTAGTGGATATTGGATAGTTGAGCTATCCACGAACTATCCTGAATATCTAGCTATCCGCCAATTATCCAGATTACCCATGAGGCACGACGCCACTATATAAGTAGATAGTATTTCCTTAGATAGGAGCTTCGTGCTCAACTGTAAGGATGTCCTCTCGTTTCTCACTCTAAGGAGCAGACAAGGAGCAGACTCTGAGTAGCTGCAGGTCACGTGTGATCATTTGGGCGGGCTAACCGAGTCGGAGGGGTTTCGGGTACTTGAGGGAAATGACTCATGGGGTTCCCCCTTCATCTTAAGAGTTAAGGCAGGTTAGCCGAGTCGGACCCGTTTCTGGTACTTAAGGAGATTGACCCAACGGGGGTTCCTCTCTTCATCTTTTTTGTATCCTTCGTAGTAGACCTATAGGATCGCATCCGTTTAGCCTCCGACTCGCACTCTCATATGCTATTACTGTGAGCTGGGTGCCCTGTGTCCTTACATTCAACTCAATATAGTATTCTTTACAATACTGTAACGTGTTACTTGGAAAGCCTTTTTGTCTAATCCCCTGCCTCCTCTGTCAAGTCAACCTTACGCAAGAAACCTCTGTGTCTTCTATTGTTTAGAAGTCAGCGTTACAGCAAGTTGCATATCGGCTCAAACTTCCAAACAGCATGAAGATTCATCCAGTCTTTCATGCCAATCTATTAAGACTTGACTTGAATGATGCAATCAAAGGGCAGCAACAGGAGCCAGAGCCTCCAGTCATTGTCAATGGCAAAGAGGAGTGGGAAGTGGACGAAATCCTCGACTCAAAAGTTAGTTGAAAGAAGCTTTTCTACAAGGCAGCTTGGAAGAACTATCCACCAGACGAGACATGGTACACTGCAGAGAGCTTCGAAAATTCTCCAGAAGTTACCCAAGCATATCACTGCAAGGCGCACTTGATATGTTACGATATCAAGTGCGCCTTGCAGCTTGAGACCTCTGACTAGACATCTTCATAGACCCTTTAAGGCTCTAAAAGATCCTCAAAAATATTTGAACTACTGTATTAAGTCTTCTAGAAGGCCAACATGTCCTTTTTAGCTTGATTAATCCAATTAGGCCATTGCTTTGTAAAGTACACCCATTTGATCTAAGGATCAAGAACAATTGAAGCAATATAAGCCTCACTGGCCTCTGTTATATTGTAGTACTTATTGAGCTTATTCCATGCATAATTAGCCATAGATTTAATTGCATCTGGATATTTGATTTCCGTTTTTGACTCTGTAATGTCTTCGAAAGCTTAAAGCAAAAAATCCATGGTCATAATCACCTTGGTAAGAGAGCTAAACGAGCCTTCTACATCAAGTGTAGTTTGTTCTAGGATCTTGAGAATCCTAAATACTTCTTCAAGATGAGACCACTCATTAGTAGTCAAAGTATCATCCTAAAGCTCGTCCTTGTGCTCTAAGCAAAACATCTGAATTACAGGCTAAACACCAGGCTATAGAACACAGCTAATCATATAAGACCAAGAGTTCCAATGAGTTCAGTTGTCCTGTTCAAGCCTTTTGCCTTGGCTATACTCCCTAAATTCAACAATTCGTTATAGCGACTGTTATACAAAAACAACAATGTTATGAAGCTTTCTAAGAGCCCTATTTATGCACCAATTAGGTAGTTTAAGTGGTGTTGGATTAGGTGAGACGTCGTGCTTAGTATCACCAAAAAGGAAGGCTTGAACTGTGAGATAGATGATGTGACCCATATAATGAAGTCTATGGTGCTTGCTATCGTAATCAATTTGGTACTCGTTCTTGAGATCTAGATATGTAATTAGATTTGATATTTAAAATAAGTGGTCTAATAATCTTAAATAAACGTACTTTGTGACAAATGCTTTATAAGAGTATCGTTATTTGAAGCGTTATGTTTTCCGTGAGCTTATAGGCCCACATACTAGTGAGAACAATGCTCTTGTTGAGTTTGATATTATTAACAAGCTTGGCTATATAATGCTTAAGGGCAAGGTACTGCTTAATCTCTGTAGAACGGAAAGAAGCCTTGAAAACTGTCTTATGGACATGCCTGCTTGTCGATACCATCGACTTGGGATGCATTGCTGTCAACGCGTTCAGAGGGGAGATTGGATTGCGCGCGATGTGGATGGGTGGTGGCGCTGGGGTGGCTGGTGCGGTTTTTGCGGCCTCTGCATTAAGGGCTTTGTAAGGAGGTTTTGTTGGGGGTTTGTTGGAGCAATGATGTGAGATTATTTAGATTGGCGCAGAACTGAATGGGTTAGAAGTGTATATACGCATAGGATTTAATATTTATGTTTATTCGAGCATAAAGCTGATAATCGCTCTTCGTGCTGCCCTTTGGGACCGGTTCTGAGTCAATGGTCTCTGTGGCCAGCGCATATTTCATCCTAAAGAAGCTCATTTCGCGTCTTGCCATATGCTAAGGTTTGCTGCACTTTTTTACTTGTTTTGGCACCGACTACGGTAGCATCTATATACAGTACTCTCTCACTGTAACCCCCATTTACATCCCCCTGCCACCACCTACACAGGTTCATCTGCCCAATCCGCCTCCGCATAACTCCCACCCTTCGCCCTACCCCTCGCATCCAGCTTCGCTAAAAACTCTGGAGGCACCGTCGGGATATACTTTCTCTCTCTCTCTCTATTCACCCCTCCAAACCCAGCCCCGAAACTAACCAGCATATCCGTGCTCGTCGGAAGCGAAAACGGAAGCATGAGTGCGGGATCCAGTAATAAGTTCTCGGGCGCGTCCTCCTCCTCTTCTTCCTCTTCGCGCTGTATCGAGTCTGGCGTCGGGGATACGCTGCTGTTGCCATTGTTCTGCCTAGGTTTTACAGGCGTAGAAGGCGCCGAGTCGCCTGGTCGCGGTGATGAGGCAGCAGCCCGCTGGCGATCTTTCCGTGCTTTCGTTTCGAGCTGGAGATTGATGATGTATTTCATGGCGCTCTTCGGTAGACCCTTCTCGCCGACTTCCGGACGGTAGTGTTTCACGGAATGGATGAGTTGTTGTGGCGTCAGCTTCGTAAGTTGCTGGAGAGTCCCGACGAGACTCTCAAAGTCGTCAGGGGCGAGGGATGAAAAGCACTGCAACCACTGAAGGAGCTGTATGATGGGCGCGAGATGGCGGCGCGCCGCTTCGACTGTGGTCTCACCTGACGCGGACATGGACCCGTTTTCGTAGTGCTCTGGCTTGCGGTTGTTCGCGCGGGCCCAGTCCTCGAGGATGGAGATGTTCATGCGGATCTGCATCGCCTTGGTGCGGGCTAGATAACGCCGATTGGACATGACGCGGTTGAAGAGCTCAGCAGCGATCCAGTAGAAGAGCTGAGCAAGGATTTGTGCCGAGATGACGGTGTGAATGTCGTATAGGTCGAGGACGAAGAGGGTTGAGGAGAGGAGGGAGGTGACGTTGCGCGGGGCAGGCTTGGCGCGCTGTTTCGGGGACGGCGGTCGGAAACGCTTTTCTGCGGGCTGCTCCTTGACAGTCGTTTTTCGCTTGAAGATTTTCCATTCGTCTTGGAAGGCAATGTCTTCGAATCCAGGGATTGTTTCGTGGTCGAGCATTGCGGGGTCGAGGACCTTGTCTATCCTACGCTCTGCGTCTCTGATGACAAGGATGAATATCTCATTGATGAGCTCCGCTAGCTGCAGCTGAAACTCGCCCGTCGATTCCGAGAGTCCCCCATCCTTCTTCAAGTAGTGTAATAGAAGTGTGGCGTTCGACATCCAAAAGGCCAAGATTGTCATATCCCACTGATATGCCTCGACGACATCGTTGATCTTGTCCATGGCTATGGTGAGCAGTTTGCCGAGGAGCTCTTGGCTGGAGTGGTAGTGTGCGTAGCGCGCGCTGAGGAAAATCATGTTTGCTGGCACCGGTTTTTGCGAGGTCGATCGTTGGGGCGTCATGTTGGTGATGACAATATCCAAGATGCGGTTGAGCTCGCTTTCTTGGAAGACGAACATTTGGTCGTGCAGGCAGCGCGCCCAGTCGAATTCCTGCATCTCCTCTTCCAATTCTTCGGGGGTCTACAGAGTCAGTATAGTCCAGGGTAGGGAAGTTTGATCTCACCTCTGGCTGGTCATCCATCCCAACATTCCCCAGATCGACCTCCAGATCCCTTGCACTCTCCATCATCATCCGCCGCCTCAACTCATTTTCAGCCATCTCCTCTTCAAAGCGATCCTGTTCGAACCCGGCATTGTAAAAGTCGTCTGCCACGCCTGCATTCCCAATGTGATATCCACTATCATGAAGATAATCAGAGAGCTCGCTGTCGGGTGCAACAAAGTCAAAGGCAGTGCGGCCAGAAGATGATTTGGCGTCCGGGGAAGCGCCTGCGTCGAGGAGCGTTTTGGCGATTCCTTTGTGTCGGTTGGTCATGGCCCACATGAGCGCACTCCATTGATTTCGGTCTTGCTTGTCGACGTTGGCGCCGGCTTCGAGAAGGGCGACTACGACTGGTTCATGGCCCTACATTTGTTAGATCGGGCTTATAGCCTTGAGGGACAACGTACAAAACAGCTGGCATAAATCAGTGGTGCAGTGCCTTCCTCATCTGGCAGATCCAGATCGACGTACTTCCTCGCGTCCCCTCCCAGAATCCGTTGTATGCGCTCTACATCTCCATTACTGGCTGCCATATTCAGCGCCCGTTGCAACATTGTTCTCTTCTTGGCATCATCCAGCTTCTCGTCCGCTGCGATTGCGTCTTCGTCTCCGTCTGGTGCCGACCCATCACGGTGCGCGGCCTGCGCGGCGAGCATCCCCATCAGTCTGCTGTCGCTGTCCTCGACTCGTTGGGGGACATCGCCAAAATCGTCCGAGAGGGAGAGATTGTTGAACTGTAGAGGTCTGGCAAGCACTGGCGCAGTGAGGAACTGTGATTGTCCTATGTTATATTAGCCGGGTCCTTCACCGCATGGGGAGACGCACCCTGCCACGCATCATACATCTCCGTCTCTGCTGTATACTCGGGAATGGCACGGCGATCGTTGAGGGATTTCGGGAGGTCGGCGGGGAGCTCTTTCGGTTTCGGCCTGGTGGGGGACAGATCATCGTCGCTGTAGGTGGCAGCAGGGACCCCGCCATCGGGGTCCTCAGTGTTCATTGTGGCCTGTCGGGTGTTGTATTCATGCGTAGTGGTGAGGGTGAGATGTGTAAGTTAGATGCTTGCTAACATGGCGAGAGAAGTGTCGTGCTTTATATCTTTGTCGAAATTCCAAAACATGGTGGTGGTGGTTGGCGGTGCCTTGAGGGGCGCGTCATTGGTTAGTGGCTTGTTTGATGTCCTGGACGGTGAACGAAAGGAGTGATTCTGCCAGACTATCCTCCGGGGCTTCAAAATATATTGATGCCTCTTGGCGGCTCCAACAGTAACGATGCCTCCACGCATACGACCTCTCCTTCGCCGGCCGCAATGGCGTCCTTATCATCCATCACCTCGTCTTCGGGCTGAACCTTCTCGGCCTTCTATAGCTCAAAAACCGACCATTGACATCAAGCACATCCGCCAAAATCCGGACCTCTATACCCAGAACGCGATTGAGCGAAACTACGGAGCGCAGAGTTCGAATCCGCAACGTATCAATGAGCTGTTTGCGCAATGGCAGGGGCATCAGCGGGATGGTCGATCTATGCGCGAACAAAGCAATGTCCTACAAGCTGCGCTCGCGAATCCGAAATCTGCCAGACACCAGGACGCCGCGCGAGCGATTGGATTCGAAGATTTGAGCAGAGATGGGATTATTGCCGCCAGCCGTAGCCTGAAGAGTAAACTGGCGAGCATCGAAACGGAAGAGGCGAAATTGACTAGGTCGATCGAAGGGCTGGCCCTCGAACTGCCGAATTTCACAAGCCCCGACACCCCGCGCGGGCACGAACCAAAGGTGCTGAGCTACATCAATGAGCATCCGTCTGGGGAGTCGGAAAAGTCTCACGTCGACATTGGAACCTCTCTTGGGATACTCGACTTTGCGAGCGCAGGCTCGACGTCTGGGTGGGGATGGTACTACCTTATGGGCGCCGCGGCACAACTCGAGCAGGCGCTGGTGCAGTTTGCGCTTTCGAAGGCAACGGCACGCGGATGGACACTTGTGGCGCCACCGAGTATTGTTTACTCTCACGTCGCGGCAGCCTGTGGATTCATGCCACGAGACCAGAGCGGCGAGACGCAGATATATACGATTGCGCAGGGGGAGGGGGATGTGGCTCGAGGGCGTCCAGAGCTGTGTCTCGCGGGCACGGCGGAGATTCCACTCGCGGGGATGGGAGCGGGTGCGTTGTTGGATTCTGCGGTGCTTCCGAGGAAGTATGTCGCTGCCAGCCGCTGTTATCGCGCAGAGGCAGGCGCGAGAGGAGTCGATACGAAGGGGTTATACCGTGTGCACGAGTTTACAAAGGTGGAGCTGTTTTCATGGACCACACCGGAGCTCGAGGCCGCGACAGAGGTGTTTGAGGAGATTGTGGACATGCAGGTGGAGGTTCTGCGCGAGCTGGGACTGCACTGCCGCGTGCTCGAGATGCCGAGCACTGACCTTGGCGCGAGCGCTTTCCGGAAGAAGGATATCGAGGCGTTCTTTCCGTCGCGGAGAGGGAGGGATGGGGGGTATGGGGAGGTCACGTCGGCGAGCGTGTGTACGGATTTTCAGGCGCGGCGGCTCGGGACGAAGATGAGTCGGGGGGGAAAGAAGGAGTGGGTGTATACAGTTAATGGGACGGGCATGGCAGTGCCGAGGGTGCTCGCGGCGGTGTTGGAGAATGGGTGGGATGAGAGGAGGGGACAGGTGGCGGCCCCCGAGTGTTTATGGCCGTGGATGGGGGGGTTGAAGGTTATTAAGGGGAAGATTGTAGTATAATGTATTCCACAAGTGAGCTGGCCACCCAAGCGAGCTGGCCACAAAACCACCACAACCTAAATATTCCGTACTAGAACTTAACCTTAACACCTTTAGTTTACAAAACTACTCCTCGTTATCTTCTTTAGATGATGAGATAGCTAGATAGCTATCTAACAAGTTCTTGCGTTATGTTCTAACTCTAATACGTGTTTTCTCTACAACCAGTCATGCAAATCCAAACTAACGAAGCATGAATTATTATAGCTATCGAAGCTATCCGAACATCCAAAAATTTAAGCTGTCGAGCTGCTGCAAAAATCTATCAAGTTCCCGAGTCTACGTTGCGTGACAATACAAGAGGGTTTGCGCCCCAGTTAACTGGCGTGGAAGATATGGCAAATTTGATCCTACAAACGCGTGGAGGGCGACGCGTCGGAAAGCTCTAGGCGCATCGATTTGTAAAGCGACAACCAGCCCTTAAGACGCGTTTTAATCGCGTTTATGATTTCCAAAGGGCCTTATGCGAAGATTCTGAGCTAATTAGCTCGTGGTTCCGACTATTGAAAATATAAGAGCAAAATACGGGGTTTTGGACTGTGACTTCTACAACTTCGACGAAACCAAAATGGAGATAGGATTCTTATAGACAAACAAGCCAAGATTCTCTACCTAGGCATAAATGAAGAGCATGCCTGCCTCCTGCACATAGTAAATGCGAAAGGAAAGATATACCAAAGATTAGAGAAGATGTTTTTAGCAGTAAGGGATGAGATTACAGGGCAGTTTGTCTAAAGGTTGCTGACTAAGTCTCTAGTTATAAGCAGTTTTTTCCAAGCATAAGGGATCCAGTGTTCGGCGGATACATATCCGGGTAGTATCCGTGAAGCTCACGGGTAGGGTATATACCCGGCGACGATCTGACGGGTAGAGTAGGGTATATATCCGGATACATGAGGCTGAATATTGTATATAAAAATAGAATATTGTATATAAAAAAAAATGAAGCTTTTGATAACAGTAGTAAACCCCTTTCCGCGAGCCCCCTTTCCGTAAGCCCCTATTTAGGTGCTTCATCGTCAGCATCATCGCCGTCGCTATCAGCCTCCCATATTTTACCCCAATTCGGTAAGCAAAGTAAATATCTAATAGTTGGCAGTGATAACCTATTCCGCTTCTTTGTAATAATATCACTACCATTACTGAATACTCGTTCCGATGCTGCAAATGTTGCTGGAATAGCTAAATGGTCACGAGCAATACGGGCAATAACTGGATATTGGTATTGCTTTGCGCACCAATATTTGAGAATATCAGTATGCTCACCGGGCCGTGGTTCAAGCATCCAGCGCCTCCATTCTGGCTCTTGAAAAGCCAAGCCTTCTGACGCAAATAGATCTTTGTCGGAATCGGGTTCTTGATCTATTGTAGCAGTAGCACCTATTGCTTCTGCAAGAGCTGTTTCGTGAGTAATTCGCTCTGTATCAAGGTGATACTCTTGCTTTTTGTACGTTCTACAAACGTCTTCGAACTGCGCTCTTGCTCATGATCTTCGTGTATTGTCTATAGCATTTGGATATATCTTCTTGAATACTGTATGATTCATTCGTGGGTCGCAAATTGTAGCAACAGCTGAGTGCTTACACTGCTGATTCGTCGTAAGAGTATAATACTCATTGAGCTTTTGAAGTGCAGCTCCACAAGCTACTCTGATCGCAGAGCTTCTACCAAGCTCCTCTTGTAGCGATGTGACCTTATTTATCATCTTCAAGTAAAGAGGAATAGTAAAGTTAAGCGTTGGATATGAATCGCTTTGTAGCCGTCTTGACGGCTTTAAGAATACCAAGAATAATCGTTCGAGAGCTTCAATAATAGCCCAATCGTTGCTTGTTAACGCAATATCCTTCATACTAATATCAAGCTTCTGCGTAGAGCATACTGCAGTAATCGGTATTCGAAGCTTTATAGCTGTTTCAAGCATATAGTACGTTGAATTCCAGCGTACAGGCATATCAAGTGATAACTGGCATGGCTTCTGGCCTGCAGCTTTCATCTGCTTCTGTAACGCATCCTTCCATGCTCTTCGGTTTCGAAAGACATAAATATGCCTTTGGAGCTTCTCAAGTGTAGCTGATACTTCAGTAGAAGAGTTATCAATACACTGCGGAATCCGGGCAAGTCCTTGCTGACACCAGTACGCCTCTGTTTCTGTATCTGGGCTGGCTTTCAAGCTCTTTAGAGCAGCTTGAACTGCAAGATTGATAATATGAGCAATATACCGAACGTCCCCTTCCTTTACAGTAAACGTCCATGGCTGTTGAATAGTCGTCTGCCGCTCACTAGCTATTTTCTCATATTCCGAAAGCATCACAGTATTCGCTGAGGCATTATCCCACGTACAAGTAAAGACAGCACCTGTAATTTCGAAGCTATCTGTTACTGCAGCTAACTCTTGAGCAAGATATTCGCCGCTATGAATTGGCTCTTGAAGGTGGATTACATCAAGTAATACGCACCGGTGCTGCCACTTCTCATTAATCCAATGACCTGTGACAGCAGCGTACTCTGTATAGTTCCGCGCAGTCCATGCATTTGTTGTGATAGATATCTGGCCGCCATAGGTAATATGAGACTGGAGTTCTAATTATAGCAATCCTCGGTGATATGAGAATTGCCGCTGTAGCTCTCGGTGTAGCGTTCGTGAGCTGCCTGTTCCCATAGTTACTTGCAGCTGTTAGCTGTGATCATAATAATACAGAACAGAAGATAATTACTCTCTATATGCCACCACACTCATCACACATTTTTCAGCCACTTAATGTTATCTGCTTTGCTCTGCTAAAGCTTTTGTACAGATTAGATTGAAACCTTCGTATAGAACAGGCTAAACCATATCACAAAGCTTGAGTTTCTCTCTACATTCAAAGAAGCATTTAAAGCTATATTTATAGAGCAGAACATTAAGAGCAGATTCCGAGCTATAGGTCTAGTTCCGTACACACCATAGAATGTCCTCTCCTTCTTAAATCTACACTTAAGAACTCTAACTCCTCCTATAGTTAAGAGTAACAGTTAGACTTCAAAGACTCCTCAAACTATAAGGGAGCTTGATTTTCAAACAGAGCATATTAAGAACTACATTATACGATATCAGAATAGCTCTCCTACCTCAATTAATGATGCTATTAGCTGCCTTGTTAAGGGGGTGTAAGTTATGATACATTCTACTATTCTACTAAAGGCAGAAGTTAAGGCTCTACAAGTAGCAAATGACTAGAAAAAGAGGTGGAAAAGGAATCGCAAGAGGCGTATAATGCAAGGGGGTAGCCTCTCTATACAAAATGGAGAGGATATCCTTTAGAGTGCTAAGGTTGATGCTTAAGTATATATAGAGGTAGCAAGTGAGAGTAGTTTGTAGGTAGGCTCTAAGGGCTGACAGAAGCGCTATGGCTGATGTGAGAAAATAGGACATAATACCCGTATGTATAAGAGGCGCTAGGAATCAATTACAATTAAATAGGGATTATTATATAAGGTGGTAGTGTAGTAGTTGTAGTAATAGTTAATTTTTGTGTTTTTGCTGCCGACTCGCTTTAGGATGCCGACTCGCTTAGGATGCCGACTCGCTTGGGATACCGACTTGCTTAGGATGCCGACTCGCTTAGGATGCCGACTTGTGAAATACGTTATAGAAAATCACTATTCATATTCATGAATAATTCATGAATTTGAATATTCAAGGTTATGTAATATTTGAATATTTAAATATTCAAGAATATGTTGAATAATTTTGCTAACCCTGCTCGATGGAAATGTTGTATGTATTAATCATCGTGCCGCTTATAATTCGTGCTAGTTATTATAGAAGTTATAACAATCACTAGTTATCCGTGATTAATCAATTTTCGCCAACAAACACCATTAATATTCCTTGCGCTATTTAAACCAGTCGCTCCTCACAGTGTTAACCATATCGAAACAATCCTTAATAATCCTAACCTATATCAAGTCCCTTTTAGACTTTTAGCCAACACGATTATCTTAAGTGAGAGCTTAAATATACGAGTCTTCTGAATGGACAGGAGCGTTGTACCCCACAGTATCTAGTAAGGCTGTACCCTGCAGTCGCGGTTTTTAGCTGCTCTCCCGCTTACCGGGGCACTAACCCCACTTTCCGCTAGTGGCTAGGTTTCAAAAGTCGTCATCGATCACGGTGATACCAATTACGAATCCAAGTGATACAAGTCATACAACCTACATAATACCAACTTCTGCACTTCGCCCTCACCCTCACCCCCGCCCTCTATCCACCTCCCCGATCATCCATCCTCTCGCCAACTGTGAACGAAGAGTCACTGTCAGAGCTATCGGAATCATGGCGTCGGCGACTGGCATTCCACAACTTACACCGGACGAGATTGCGCGCCGCGATCCGGTTCCTACCTTGGGACTCGCAGAGGATGAACCGCTCCTTGGCCGCCGAGGAGCTGCATCACAGCGGGAAGGGAGGGCATTGGGGTGGAATCTGATTCTCGGTATATCTTCCTTGCCATCCGATCCTACATCCACTAACACCCTCCCAGGGACAGCCCTCATATCCCAAGCCGGGATCATCGTCCTCATCGTCCTCATCTTCTCCGCTATCTTCACCCACCAATTTTCCCTCTTCTCTTACCATCCACTCTTCAACATCTCCGCCGTCGCCCTCGTCACCCAAGCCGTCATCATCCTCCAGCCGACCCACACAACCTCCCAAAAGATATCAGGGACTCACGTCCACGCTGCCCTCCTTGGCGTCGCAAGTCTGGCCTTTGCAGCGGCCTTCACGATAATAGAATACAACAAGTTCGACCATGGCGTTAATCACTTCACCTCTGCGCACGGTCGCCTCGGGTTCACGACTTACATCTTGATCCTCCTCCAGGCCCTAATCGGCGTGACACAGTTCTTTGTCCCAGGGCTTTACGGTGGCGTGGAGAAGGCAAAGAGGGTGTATAGATGGCATCGTGCGAGCGGGTATGCACTGCTGCTGCTGATGCTAATTACTGTGGCAGCGGCGGCGCTAACGGAGACTGGAGGGGACGTGTTGGGATTGAAGTTGGGGCTTGTGGGGGGTGCGGCGGCGTTGGTTGCGGTTGGCGTAGCGGCGAGAGTTAGGCCCGGGAAGTTTCGATTTGGAGGAGGGGTATGGGCGAGTCATGAGGTTCAGGATAGTGCTGGGGAGGGGGTGGTGGCATGAGAGTGGCCCATGTGGACAGTGAGTATCTGTGAGCGTGCGTTTGAGTTTCGTTAATGAGCAATGGAAGGAAATATATATGCAGGGTAGTGCCCAATTTAGTTCAGTCCATATATTTTTCTATGAGGCCACTATTCGTTGCATGAGACGAGCCAGAGCGGCATGGAGGCCGGACCACTTCTAATTGGAAGCACATTATGGACCCTACAATCACTCATCCTTCGGTCAGGTCGCCGACTGCGATGGGGGGATCAGGATGAAGTTTCACCCAACGTTAGGTAAGGCTAGTATTATGCGTGGGAAGTTGCCACTCTGCTCTCTTAAGGATCCTAGACGAAAACGTCATCGTCCATCAGCATCACCAACTGCTGCCTATTGTCATATTATAAGTTTATGCAAGGTTATGGTGTCAGAGCTGCTGTTTTGAGCTGGCGCTAGTTGCTGCTTTACGCAGCCCCGTGTTGCAAATGCGGCCCTACACCCGTTAAGGAACTCGTAATCTTGGCTGGTAATCGGGTAATATCCCACAGCCGAGCTAAGTTCTCACTTTTAGGTGCGTAAGGTAACGCTTCATTAGAATATGAGTAACGTACATGTATAACGAACCAGCCAACAAGCGAACCGGCCAAAATTATCTACCCCCGCAACAAAAATTACGATAAACACCATGACACTAGAAATCAATTGAAACTACTCGGAGTCCTCTTCCTCAGACATGTCTATTACAATCTGACAAGTGCGCGCATTGTGTCCAGTCTCTCCACACTTCCCACAGCGGCGTGCACGCATTTCTTCCCTTGGCTTGCGACCACTGCTCGCCCTTATTTCCTGCTCTACTTGCTGCACAACATCCCTCTCATCCTGTAGACCCTGCGCATCCTATTGAGTAAGTGATCCTCCTTGCTGTAGACGTGTTTTTTTAGCCCTCCGGCGCTTGCTTATTACTTCATTTGCCTGTCAGAGGTTCTGGTTCTCTGCCTTTAACAATGCTAATTGATGCATTATTTGCGATGCACCCTTTGTAAACTGGTCGACAGCTGCATAGATTGATGTTGGAGAGCTATTCTGATGATGCGCAATTCGGTTTTTAATGAAGGTAGATTTTGATGAGGCTTCAATTGGGTTATTTGGTGTTTGGGAAACCCAAGGTTGAGCAGTACCCGGGCGGGAGCTTTGAGGTGTTGGTGTCTTTAACTTAAGATCAAGTGCAGATATCACTCTCTCAGGGTCGAATGGAAGAAGCCCTGCTCCTCGGAACCCGCCCTGAATGTTGCTTTCAGTTATTGCAGTGTTAAATGCAGCATGGAAGGCAGGAAAGAAGTCATCCTTAGTAATGTGAATAATATGAGCACGCATCATATCTTCAATTTGCCGACCGTAAGCCTTCTTTAATGGGCCAAAACAGCCAACATCAAGTGGCTGGAGTATATGGGAAGAGTGAGCAGGCATACAAGCGTAATAATGTTGTGTTCCTTGCAGTATTCCTCAAACTCATCTGAGTGGTGGCTCTCATGACCATCAAGGACTAAGAGGCGATAACCACCAAACTCCGGGTCTTTGTATGCTTCTCAAAATGCTGAATCCAATCCATGTCTCTCTCATTTGTAGTCCAGCCATTTTCTGTAACAGCAATTACCCAATCGCCTGGAAATCCACTGTTCTCATACCAAGATGCAAGGTGGTTTTTGCCTGCAACAATGACAAATGGCGGCACTGCCCAACCTTGAGAACTAACACCTTGGATTACTGTAACCCATTCCTGATTGCCAGGCTGTACCTTCTTTGCTTTTGTACGCCCGTCTGAGCTTGTCACAACCATAGCAGTTGAGATAACGCCCATCATAAACCCAGTCTCATCAAAGTTGTAGATATCTGCTTCATTGATGCCATATTTTGCAATTGTGTTGCGTAGAAGCTCAAACCAACAACGGATGACTTCTGGGTCCTCGAACTTAGCCCTCTGGTAGTCGTATTTGCGCTGGAAGCGTGTCCGGAGCTCTACACGCCGCTTAACAAAGTTTGAAGCCCAACACGACCCGACGGGTGTCCGGAGCTCTACACGCCGCTTAACGAAGTTTGAAGCCCAACGCGACCCAACGCGTGGCGCGTCACATGTTGCAAGTAGCCGATTTGCCATATCTTCAACAATAGACAACTGAGGAGGAAATCCTTTTGTAGCTAGGTCGAGTATGTATTGAACAAGGACTAATTCCTCTAGATTTGTCAATTTCTGTGAGTTGGCTTGGATATCGCGTCGTGAAGGTATGCCTAGTAATCGACGACCTAGCTTACGGTGGTCTACAGAAAAGGTCCTAGCTACAGCTCGAAGGCGTAACTTTGCGTCACTTTGTAGAGCTTGGATAGCTAGCAGTAATTGCCTTTCATCGTTTTTTGGCAGCATGTTTTGTTGTGGAGGAATTTAACATTTAGTTGGGGGTTATTGTCACCGCATCATTTTGGCCGGTTCGCTTGTTTGGCCGGTTCGCTATACATGTACGTTAATTACAGTATACTATAGTAGGCAGTAATAGACAGTAGGAATAGACTAGATTAAAGAGCTTCCTGTAATGATGTACGGTTATGCTCGCGCTACATCCCACTAAGCCAAAAAGACTACAATATTCCAGCTCGCCCAGAATACGCATAACACGCTATATATACTATAATGGTTACACTCTAGCACCCCGTTACAATTACCCCTCCTTCTAGTCTGTGACGTCCTGGCATGCTGTGCTCTTGTTAAGGTTTCCTAGTGCAATAGTCAGGCTCCCTAATTGGCGCTTGGTGTAAGCAGATTGCCTTAAAACTCTAACGCATTAGGTTTTAGGCCCAAACCCTTCTGTTACTTAGGGCGTTTAGGTAGGCCCTCCAAATGATATTAGAGCGCTATTAACAACAAGTTTATGCTCGAATGTCATACTGACATTCGTTGCACTCAGTTTGCTATCAAACTCAAGAGCAAACTTAGAAATCTCCTCCTCAAACCTACAAGTCACCATACATATCTTGGCTTATCACACCAACAACAAGAGCAATACTACTCAACGATTGCTGCAAACTCTTCTACTACATCTGTTTATGCTACATACATCACGGCATATCATTTGGACACTCATTGAACAAGTTATTAAGAAAATCTCCTCCTTAAGGGGGTGGGCCAATACTACCAACTAGATACCTAGGAACATGAACGATAGCTCTAAAGCTTCTACAACCCTCTATGATTCATTACACATCATCGCTCCTTAGTTACCCACAATATTGGTTAAGTTATGACATAATTTGTCTATAGGGGTACTCTGACCTTGGACCTCCTTTTCACTTCCTATAGGCTAGAAACCCAAGAGATGGTTCTATGGGATTCTCTTATGTTTACTACATGATTAGCAAGCTAGTTGTGGGTCGCACTTGATTTCTAATACAGTTACCAAGCCTAGTTAGTCATAGAAAGTCTTGGAAAATGAGAGAACTACACTCCTTTAGCATAAATAAGATTGCCCTTTCCTTAAGAAAGGGCAAGCAGACAATACGGAAAATCGACTAGCACATACTTCTATGTCTTTTCCAAGCTTCCAAGCATTGATCTTGTTATTCTTTGTTTCTGAAAAGTCAGTGAGGTGCTAACCTCTGACTTACCCCTGAGTTCTCAGACTCAACATTTGTTACAACTTGTCTAAACGACTTCACTACATTATACACCTGATTTCTGCATTGTGGAATTTGATTGATTCGCATTTGATAGAGACTATCCTTACCCATCCGTGACTTCTTTTTGCAAATGTCCGATGCAAGATGTGTTGCCATAGACTTTGGGCCAGCAGACTTGATTGCAGGATGCGTAAGGGCCTTCGAACAATAAGTACAAATGACACATGGTTCTCCAGAAAGCTGGTCTGCTCCTTGGTGATAACTTCTCCAGTATTGAGAACTCCGGTTCGTTGAATCCCATGCAATCTTCGTAAGGAGTTTTGTAGTATGATCTGAGTGTTGTTCATACCATCGTGATAGCTTCCACCACTCAATGAATACATCGTGTGTATCCTTAGTCCATTTGATGAATTGGTTTAATTTGCCAATATATTCAAGGCCTGCAGGGACTTGATTTAACGAGGATAGTCATTGAGAAGATGGAAAAGAGTCTGAGAATACATCTGCAATAGGATTGTCTTAGATGAAGTCGGACGGGAATATTGGCTCTCTGCAACTATATAGTGCAAAATCTATGCCACAAGTCTGGATGGAAGAGCCCTATGCTTAGGAATGGTATAACTCAGTCAGATTATCTACAATATTAGGCATCCCTTGATGTATAGGCTGACCAAGTGTAGATGATAGTATTATGGCAGTAATAATCTAAGGGTCCAGGGTTAGCACAAATAATCATAATAATCATGACTATTCGAATAGTCAAATATTACATAAGCATGATTATTCATAATCATGAATATTCATGGTTAACGTGGTTGTACACCGAGTCGTGAATGTCACCGAGTCGTGAAACTTTTTTATACCCACCACTGTAAGGTATAATTAAACAACCACAACATGTATTAAAACTAAAACTATTCAGAATCTGATGAGCTAAGTACTTCTATGACCTCCTGACAAGTTCGTGCATTATGGCCAGCCCCCCCGCAAGTGCCACAATGTCGTACACCTGGTTGCCCCTCATTCCTACCAACCCCTCCAGAGCGCTTCTCGCGATTTATTTGCTCCGTAACTGCCCTTTGGGACAAATCATCATGTGCATCCCCTACAGAAAGTGCACACCCTTGACGGACACGAGACTTTTTAGCCCTCCAGCGTTTGCTAAGAGCTTCGTTTGCTGCTCGAAGGGTGCGGACTTCAGCTGACAATAAAGTCATTTCATGTGCCAAAATCTCTGTCCCTTTAGCTAATGCAGTAACAGTAGCAAAAATGGGGGTTGGCGAGCTTCCTTGGTGCCGTGCAATGCGATTTTTAACTAGAGTAGTCTGTGAGAGAGCATCTATTGGGTTGCGAGGCGTTTGAGAAACCCAAGGATCAGCGTCTATAGAGGGGGGTCCTGTAGGTGTAGGAGTCCGCAACTTGACGTCTAGCTTTGAAATGATTACTTGCGGATCAAAGGGCACTAAACCAGCTCCGCGAAATCCAGCTTTGGCGTTTTGAGTTGTTATTGACTGGTTATAAGCTGCGTGGAAAGCTATAAAAAACTCAACCTTTGTAATATGGTTTATATGAGCCTTAATAAAGGTCTCAATTTGACGCCCATACATGCGTTTAAGAACACTAAAGCACCCAACATCAAGTGGCTGAGTTA